TTAAATGGGGAAGCTGACCTCAATATTGCATAGGACATCATTACACAAGACATAAGTATGGCAAAAATGTGTCATATTTACATTTCCCGAGTACGGGAAAAACCAACTATGACGTCAAATGTAAGCTAAGTAAGCGAAATAAGCAATACCTATATAAGATATCCATCATCAGCCATGCAAAAATATTTTTTTTTTTGGTGTTTTCCTTTTCTCAAAATATTTCATCATATACTGATTATGACCTGTTTTTACATAATAATACTGCCAGTGTATTCTCCAAAAATGATCTCGCTGTACTAACAGATCGTGTATGATGTCAAGGATTTGTTGGACGCACAGTGTAGGGAAACATAGGAATGGAACAACATATTCCGTAATTTGTTAATGTTTACAAGAATGTTAAAATTTTTATTATATTTATGTAAGATGGTAATTAAAGTAAAACAAATTGTCAAAAATTTATAAAAGAACTGATGGTTTACATGTTTTCACTTATATAAAAGGAGACTATGACGTAGTTAAACAGAGTCATGTGACCATGTGTCTTTCATCTTCTTAAGATGTGCATAGAGAACATGACAACAATATCTATTTTTCCTATACAGTAAAGTGTGTCATAATTAATCAATATTATTAAACCATGCCACCTGTTTGATTCCAGTTGAAAGGATACAAGACTTGTACGTTCTAAAAAATGTCAAGAGTGTGTATTGGGACCTCTTTTTTTTCTTTTTAGCTTTGTTGATGAGAAACAGGATAGGTTAATGCTTTGAACACTTATCAGATAACTAACTAAGATTTATGTTCGAATTTTTGTTATATAAGCGCATTTTCATTTTTAAGTATTATTTATCTCTTTATCTTTAATCACAGTAAACATCAGCTAAAACAACACTCGTTCCTTTCATTATCTTTCTATACAAAAAAGGAATATAATGTAATGGTTAAATATAACCTTTCTTTGTTTTCATATCCCACATCTTTGACTTTGCCTCTGATAAAGTGATCTTAAAAGGTCTTCTTAAACTCTTTGTCTTTTACAACAATATAAGCATTAATTTCAAATATTATTCACAAAGTTACTTTTATATCATCAAGCATATATCTAAGCATATATCCAAATACTTTAACGGTCAAAAGGTTCTTGAAATTTGCACTCGAGAGACATTAGAGGGATTAGAGGGATTTTTCATCCAAAAATATCAATAAGAATGTTGAGTTTATCAATTTTATGCAAAGTATTATTTGGTTTCACCACTGTTTCACTCAGAATTAGACAAGAAACGTGTGTAATGTTGACCGTGATCACCATAAAGACTTCCTGTATAATGCAATGTGTATATGAATTTTTGGCATCTTGAGTATTAGGGCACCCCAGGTAAATATCATCTGTACTAATAAGACCACTCCCTCTTGTCAGGTAACCGTACGGTAAAAAAATTGGGTCTTTAAACATGGAAGAAATAACTATATCTGAAACGTGTTTGTAAACATTAGAGAGTTTCTTTGTCTATTCATGCATATTAATTCGAGAAAAAAAAATTTCCAGATTGATCATGAGAATAAGGATATTGCTAACTTTTAGTTAATTCTAATCTATATTGACACAAATGCATACCTTGCCAAAACATGTCAGATGAATTCTCTTTATTTTGGATGGGCATATACGTTACATATGTGCATTCAACTTAATGTTGCAAAAGTCAAATTAAGAAATATGTGAATTGTTTACTTGATACCTTAATATATTTTTGATAAGTCTCTTTTCAAACTAAAAAAAAAATGTTTATAAAAAATTAATGTAATATCTCGGTACCTAGAATGACTGTAATTTTGAGAATTTCTTTTTTCTCACTCTCTTTCAAAAACATCATACAAACAGAATAAACATTTTTATAAAAAAAAAAAAAAAAATATTGGAAATATTTTACCAAAAAGCTTTCTTAAACATTTATTTCTATTTTACCTACGTATAATATGAACTTTCGCATCAGAAATTAAACTAAAATCCTGCTTACATATAGAGAGCGTTGTTCCTAACCCACTTTTTAGTCAGAAATATCATCCTAACGAACTATATTGTTAAGTGTTTTACAACTAAAATGTCCGATAAAAGAGGTTGCAAAAACATTGATTTGAAGCCATGCGTATTTCACACTTTGAAGGAATTGATCATTTTCTTTTAATTTATGACTTATTCGGATAGATTTCATACGAGTTGAAATGAAAATGTAACTTCAAATCGATACTGTAGTACGACAGAGAGATGTTGTGACAAAAATGCAAACAACACAATAGCATTCATAAAAAGGGGTAAAATTAGTTTTCAAGATTTACGATGGATGATGACTTGATATCTAAAATTAGATAATTATCATGAGAAAAATAACTTTTGATCAAGCCGAACTATGAAAAAAAAAATCATTATCAAATCACATCTAGAAGGAACGGGGTTTATTTTTATGATAAAAATCCCCTTATATGGGTCAAATTAGATTAGAAAGCATATCTTACATACATGCATACCTAATTAAAACAGAGTAAATCTATTAAACATTTAAGCATTAATAATTTGAATAACACTTGTATGAAAAGAGAAATACAGAAAACAGCTCAGGTGCTTTAAAGACTCTTCTGTTTAGAAAAACCGATAATTGTGACCTACAGAAAAGATGCACAGTTGAAATGCATGGACCAAACAAGCTGATCGCCTTCAAATAACTCCTAAAATTCATCATAAAGTAAGAAATCAATTTTAGCTCATTCTAGGTCATAAATCATACACAATACAGATTATAATTATTGAAAATCTATTTAAAGAGATTAATGATTCAGATGTCATAGTAAATGTCAAGTGCAGATTCAAACAATTTCCAGACGGTTCTCGAAGTGCTAAATCAAACGAGGAAATGCAGTAAAATGTAAATATGATGAAATGGATCTTATTCTCTGTTCGACATTGAAGTTTGTTGTATACTTTCTATTTCATTATTTTCTAGTTTCTACATCGCGGTTATGTGATGGGTAGGTGGGTATTTAAATCTGTATAATTATGCAAAATCATATAGAATGCAATTGATCAATTGAAAAAAAAAATATCTTACTTAACGTTTCAGTGAGGCATATTTTGTTTGTGTTTTGAATAAATAAATCATTTTTTGTGTAGTTGATTTACAAACACCATAGTTCTTGTTACAAAAGTGATATTTTTTAATATCAGTACATGTAAATATTTTGCTTATCAGGATAAAAGGGACATCATGTTGCAGTAGATTTATGTGGAACAATGCCTTGAATGAATGCATACGTTTGCATCATTATAATAAATCTGAATTTTCTTAAGGAATGAATTTAATAGCTACCCAATTTATACGGTATAAAGTGAAATTTTATCCTATCTAATTCCAACTCTCGCTAAATGACGTTTAATAAATATTGCAGCGACATGTGAATGCTTATGTACTACAATGGTGCAAAAGTGACACATGCTCCCAGAGGCATATTTTAAGTTAATGAAATAGCTGTATATTTTCTAAAGATCATCGGAATACAACGAAACTTTCGTTGTGTATCTAATGGAAAATACGTATATTTTTTATCTGCAGAGTGTAATTGGTTTCTTGCAAATAGAAATACAGTTTGTCTCGAAATTTTCTTAAAAAAAAAAAAAAAAAAGACAGAAAGAAAAAAAATTGTACTGCATTTCTAAGGCCAATTAGATTTAAAGCTTCCAATTTTTATGCCGTTTTTGATACTGTTCTTAATATAAAATTCTATTTCTTATACACTGCATAATGTTAAGCAACACTTTTTTTTTTTTTTTTTTTTTTTTTTCTATTTTTGTTTTCGACTATTTTGAGCTTTATTCGAAGTTCAGATAAATTTTCATTTCAATATACTTTTCACATAATGTTTTGAGGATAATATAATTATCTGTATATAATCAAGACTCTGAGGCTTATTAATGCCACAAAAAGAAATACAATTAATTGGTAAAATGTGAGTTATAAAATTTACAAGAACTATACGTACAATCTGTATACATGGCGATTTCATTATGCTGAAAAATGTGTACGTAGTGTTGTGGCAAGAGAACCATGAGCTACAATAACGCACGTGCGCTGTTATACAATTACAAGTGATCTTTTTGAGCGTACATTTCACGCTGAAGCTGTTAAAAAGAACAAGGTTCACTTTAGGCCTGTTTAGGTCCTGTGAATTTTGGAAAAAACCAAAATTGTTCAGTTTTAGATGAAAATGTATTAAATTTTACTGGGACCTATGGTGACTTCATATCTACTGAAAATGACGTAATTTCTCTCTAATCCGTCATAAATGGCATAAGTTAAACCTTTTTTATAAATATTTTGCACAAAGCTCAGCCTCTGATCCAGAAATGGCAAACATATCAAGAAAAAACTGCTTTTGAAGATTACAATAAAAGTTATATTTTTGTATCGAATTCTTTTTTGAATGTACTTAAATAGACCCGTTTTCTGGAAAAGTAAAGATCATTGAAAATTCAAAAAGCCTTTTTAAAAAAAATACTTGGACTTTCAGAAGAAACTTTTTTTATAGGAAATGAACGCACCAATTCTCTTCTTTATATTGGTATTTGAAATGGGATATTTTGTTTTGGTCAGTTAATTGGTATTTAGGCAGGGACATTTTATGGATAAAGTGAACTTAGCTCTTTATATCAATATTACAAATTCGTATCCTGTTTTTAAAAGATCTTTTATTCCAAATAATTATCTAATATATATTAGCAAGAAGCAACAGTAATAGACAAAGCAATCAGAATTTAATAATAAATGATATATCCATTTTAAAAACAGATACAACAAAGTAAATTTTTAATTGATTTAACGGGGATTCCATTGCAGGTATGGATATTACCCAGAATTGTTACACTAGGAAGAATTTTTCCTGCCTTCCAGCATTTTATTGATATTTCAATCTGAAACATAAACAATATTTTCAATCTTCCTAAAAAAGAATTAATCCTCTTGTGTCCCTTTTCTCTTTACCATCATTCGAACTCTACGGATGTCAATTCCACTCTTGAATCCACTCTTGGATTTCGGAACCCAAGGATACTTCCAATCTGTGCTTCCGTAAGGACCAGTGAGCAGGGCCCAACGACATTGTTTATACCACCACCCTCCCCCTCCTCCCACTAAGATAGCACAGTTAGCGCCATCACTTTCATCCTGGTCTTTATCGATGGTGGTAAATTTCATTCCATTAAGATGGCCTCTTGAAAATGTAGCTGGTGTCATCGCATCGCCTGATAAATCAAAATCAAAAAGCTGTAATTAAAAATATATAGGCCACAGGACACATTGAGAGCATAGTGTTGAAAAGTTCATCTTTTTTCCCTCAAAATTCCAATCATGATGCCTTTCTTATTTATTTAAATAATCTAAATATACGCTCTTTTAAAAAAAAATTGGAAGGATTAAAAATTACTAAACGACGAACTTTAAGGATAAAAATTGTAAAATCGGATGAATAAGATTGAAACATGCAGAGATATATACGAGTTGTGTATGAGTCCAAGGAAAAGATACGAACTATTAAGTGCTACATGTATTAACATGAGGACGAGTGTGCTTTAATTCGTCGATATTCTTATAATTACACTTAGAGTTATAACATTGATGTTTGTAAACAAAATACGACCTTAAACAAGTTTAGGAGGAGGATGAATTTAATATCGGAGTATCTTTATTTGTAATAAAATTATACGTTACCGAGTGTTCCTGAGGCCCCTCCAAAGTGCAGGGAATATCCATCAGCTTCGCCGGAAATCGAAAATTCATTATATTTTTCATAAAACGTACTACCATTCACATGGGTTATAGAAACGTACAACATGGAGTTTGTCTGTCTCGTTAAGTGATGAATTACTTCATTTCCTAAAAAAAATAATTATGAGGTAAAAAGAATATTGAGTCACTTTTGCATGCGATATCATCTGTCATCCATTCAAAATTACCATAATTTTCCTTACCAATCCAGTAGTCAGACGAGACACTCCCAAAACCAATTTTATATTCATTCCAACTCCGATTGAAATTCACAGAGCCGTCGTTTCGTTTTAACAGTACCTAATTAAAAAAAAAAAAGGATTCGATAAAGCATAAAATTTATCGGGTATGTAAAATAAAATTTTATTTGACAAAACACCCACACACACACTCAAAATAAAACAAAAAACTACTTAGTGAATTATACCGTCCAACCGCCTCCATTTGTTTTCATATCACAATAAACATCAGTGAGCTGATTTACCAAAGGCTGAATGCTATGTACCCCGGACATTGTGATGCCACGATCAAACAGTTCCTTACAGTCAAAAGCTGCAAGAATGAAGATAATTATTTAAGTATCATAGTTAATTGATAAAATTATCATTTATAATTACAATATTAGGGATTCACTGTAAAATTGTGGATAAGATTTGTTCAGTTATAAAAGAAGTAATCGAAGTCGATGGAAATTTTATTAAACCTTGTTTTTCGAAATACCGCCATCCACTTTCAAATATACTCCCGGCGTTATCTGTGCATCGTTCATGAATGCGGCATTTCTTTAATCTATTGTTGTAGCCAAAACAGGTACATTGTTCACTGCATCCACTGCAACAAAGTAACCGCGAATTTCCAGAAAATATTCCGAGTAAAGAACTATTATAAATTTTGTCGTTGAGCTTGGTAATTTCCAAATAGAACTGTGATATAGAGTTTGAGGCGTCTGGTAATATGTGCAAAAGTACGAAAATGGTCTTCAAAGTCATCCAAAAGAAACATACATCCATAGTGACGAACTAAAAAAATAGGATTAGTTAGTGTAACTGATTAAACCTCTCTGTCGATATGCATAAGAGACATTTTCTGTCAGTTTGATCGGCACTATAAAGACAGTCTACCTTTAAATGCGTAATTATAGAAATTGGCACATCGCCAGGCCGCTTATGTAATGAAAATATTAATGTTACTGTGAAGTTTTTGCTGTTTTCGTGTAACGAAAAGAACCATATATTCGTGTTGTCCACGAGATGACCGTACATGTATTATGTTACTCTACTACACTTCTTAAACTACGAAATCAAAGCTTCACAAACCAGCAAATTTTCCTCAAAACACAAAAATGACATGAAATTGTTTTATCCCTCTTGGTGCTGTCTCTTAGAACACTGGAATAGTTCATGATCAAAAAACGTGAAGTCACCCCGATTTGAAATTGAAGTGATGATAGATAGAAATCACAGAAAGTCAAAGAATTTATTAATTTTCGAATCTTGTGTATGAAAATTTTAGATAGGCAAGATTGCGTTCTGTTTTTCCAAATTGAATGCATCTCAAATTTTGAAATTTTATAAGAAAATGAGACTATTTTGTAAAATTTGATATTAAGTAAAATTTGAAACTTATAACAAATTCGACCATTACTATACATTGTTCTTTGGTATGGGGGGGGGGGGGGGAGGGGAGCTAAATATTTTCAGTTGGGGAGGGCACTATCAATACCAAAATTCCTTGACAAGCCAAAAAAAGCTCATCAGACGTTTTTCTTGGGGGGGGGGGGGCACAGGCATATTGTAGCTATGTTTTCTATAGTAATCTCTATATCGGCAAAATTATGGGGGACACCCCCCCCCCCACCCGGTTCCTAAGGCCATGCGAAATAACTGATTTTACAGTATATATTTGTTTTACAAAAATGACAAGCGAAAAAATGATCTTAATTTATTTCTTCGAAATTCCATAATACAGAGACTGATTCAAAATCTTGATGACATTAGATTACATGTTATAAACAGCAATAACTAAATATTTTTATTATTATTATTTTTTTGAGTTACAGGTTTCAAATGGCCTTATGTAATGCAAAGAATATCACTTTTTTTTTTAAATTTAATTGTGACTTTGAACAGATTAGTATTTATCTGATAGAAAATGATTCTATTTCATTAAGTCACTGTATCTTGATTCAACATATCAAAAATCGTTGCTAGTTGATAACTGAATTATACGGAGTTTTTATGCTTGATATTGTTTTTAACCCTCTTCCCCACAGTCACGCATTTTAACGCATATACCATTTCCTATTTCTAACGCAAAATCACGCATATACCGTTTCCCCGTAATCACGCATTTTCACGCACTTTCAAAAGTAAATTTAATCTTCAATTTAATGCCAATTCCCTCCTAATTTATGCTTGCTAAAATCTCATAAAATAAGAAGAGTCATACTTTTATTAAAATATTACGTCATAATTATTTACGCTAAACTTTAGAGAAACTTCTACCTAGCTATAAAGTGCTTGCGAGGAAAAGGTAACGTCATATTTCTATAACATGAACATTAAGTGTACGTGGCATCACAGTTCAGTAAGTTGTAAAGAGTTAAATACAAAGGTGCATCTGTTGATACATTATATGACATTTGGAGTATATACATATGCGTTGATTTCCTTTTAATAGCTTTTGCTTTACTGGATGAAATATAAATTTGGCTCCAGTCTTTAACACTATTTTAGCTATTCAAAATCTTTCTTAATTAAATATTTTGGATTTCCAGCGTTTCGGCTTGAACATCACTCAAGAGACATAATTTGTCGAAATGCGCATCTGGTGCATCAAAATTGGTACCGTATATGATTTACATAAATTGCATCATTTTATTTTCCCGAAGGAAATAAATACACATCTATTATGAAAATTAATGTATAAATGCAAGTGAAATGTTTTAACTCCTGACAATGGTAATGCAGAATTTTGAAATAATAATGAAGGTCTTTTCAAAACTCGTTACATGAGCTTTATGTAATAAGGAACGATACCTTTCTGATGTGAAAATAGTTTTATTGTTTTCACAAACATTATTTCTTTCATAAAGTATCCCAAAAGCAATGAAAATAATTTTACTACATTTCATCATGTAGCATGATGACAAGTTCTAATAGATCTTCTTTTTTTTTTTAATGTTTTCTTTTTTTAATTCTATTCATTTTTTTTTTTTTGAAATGGAAGAAAGACAAGTTAAACAATATAGTTATTCTTTACATTACAATGAAGCACTCTACTATTCAGACTTTTATTACCAATTACTTATTCTAATTGCAGCTCCTGTACGCATTGAAAAAAAAAAAAGACATTCAAGGCCATCATTAAAAATATCTTTGTTTCCCCTAACCCGACCCTAAAATCTCAAGACGGGTAGGTAGGTAGGCAAATATTTTTTTTTTTTTTTTTGACAGCAGCTTTGAAAATACATTCTTAAAATTTAATGGAATGATATCTTTATAAATAAGTTAAAAACAAAAGAAAGTGATTTGTAAACAGTTAGAATACCATACAAATGCAGTTTAAACTAAACATTTAAGGTAAATTAATTCACAACTTTTATTCAATCGAACCATCTCATACCAGAGTAAATTTGTAAAAAATCGAATACATCTGTTCAAAAGATTCTCGGGTACGCAAAGACTGGACACCAGAGTATTTTTTATACCTACTATCAGCTTCCATTGCTTTGTACTTTTTCAAGGGCTTCGAACTGTGCAGTGCTTCTAGAGCATTTCGTTTTAGAGTCTCGAAGTAAGGAGCTATTTCTAAGTTGCAGGTTCAAATCCCAGTGCGGGACGTTGAGACCAGTTCTTCGAATGGCACAGTAAAAACTTAGGTCCAGTTACTCATTAGATACTGGCACACAAAAACAATCCTCACTGCTCATGGCCTTAAGTGCCGCGTACACGTCTAAATTTGGAGTCCTTCAGCAACAATTATCAAAGAGATTCAAATCAAAGAAACAACCAATCTTCCAGGGCCTTATTAAAGAAAAATACTAGTACACGGACGTCTCAGGAAGCTTGTATCATAATTTCAAATCTATTTCGAAAAAGCATGTTAACAATATTTAATTGAGGCAAGCAATATCTAAAAATGATAACATGTCATACAATGTCAAAGTTACGAAGATTAATCCATGATTAAATGGCAGGAATAAAGGACATTTGAATTCTATTTATTAGGATGAAATATGCAGACTTATTTACAACTCCTATGGTCCCATATAGTAAACATTGGAATATTGATGAACTGTGTATAGGATCAAAACTCAAATTAAATAAAATGCAATGAAACTGATCGGTGTTTTCACAAGGTGGGCCCCCTGTCTGCTCATAAGCGGTATCATGAGGAGGGCCTACGGGCCTAAGCATGCTCCCTACGTATCTTAATTTTAAGACAGGCTAGTAAATACAACCCAAACACTTTCAATTAGTCATTGGATATTATATTTTATAAACAAAGTGTTTCAGGAGTGCAGGATTCTAATATGTTAAAGGCATAAGGTTGACGCGTTGCCTTTCTTTTAAAACACGAACTAACCTTCCGTGACCATATGTTGTAGACGCTATTTTGTTTCCAATAAATGCTTGAAAATCACAGAAAAAAAATCATTCGATCTGATTAAAAACAGATTTGATGGAATTTTATTTTATAGAAGTTGATAAACATAGAAAAAAGTATTTGAATAATCATAGGAAAAAAACTTTCCAGTCGGCGCGTTTTAATAGTCAATTTTCGAGTTACCGTATTCCGGCAGGATTCTAACATTTAGTTTGTACTTAAGTCACGTGATTTTTATAAAAAATGCGGGGCGCATCACTTCCGGTGAATTTGTTGACATTAGTAACAATTCGTCTGCTTCAAAATGCCTCGTTATTACTGTGTTGCCGAAGGGTGTTCGTCGGATTCGAGGAAAAAAGGGAGATACGGCTTTATGGCTGATGTGGAATTTTTTTCCATTTCCAACGTCAAAACACCCGAAACTCCGTCGGAAATGGCTTGAGCTGTTAAGGCGTTGTGAGTTTGATCCCTCGCGTCATGATAGACTGTGTTCTAAGCATTTTTTGGAAGGGAAACCCACACAAGACCACCCATATCCCGAGTTGTTTCGTTATAACAATTTCAAATGCTCGCTTGGAACCCGTGGAACGGCTTCCATTGAGAAGAGATCTGCTCAGCAAGGTACAATAACAATTGAAGCCACGCCCACTCGTGAGTCTCGTCACACACTTAAAACAACGGGTTTTCTTTTACATGTATGTATCTCAGATCACTGTACGACTTCTTTTCAATAATTTAAACACTATTCTGAGTCAATATGTCACCAATGACTTATTATTCAAATGATTCAAAAATTAATTTAATCTTTTGTAGGATGAAGATGAGGGGAAACAACCTTTTTCATTCCCTGTGGAGAGAGAAGTTACTGTTCAATCCATAACGCCAATAGAACAAATAGCAAGTATGTTGACATGCACAGCTTAATTTGTAATAGTTGTGAAGAATACAAAAACAATCAATATGCTAATAAAAATCCCTTTTTATCTATTTAGCACCCCATGATCATGATTACTGTTCAGCTGGCAGTGAAGAGATCCAGTCCTGTGATGTACAATGTCAGACAGACTTGACCCTGCAAGACCTAGAGAAATCTGAGGCTGAACTTTTGCATCTTCGAGACACCTTCAAGAACAAAGATGAACTGAGGCGGTACCTGACAGTCGACAAGATGACAAACAGTGATAGCTCTGTTATGAGTTATTTTGGACTGCCATCTATTCTGATTCTATTTGGAATCTTTGGTATATTTTAATGATATTTCTAATGCATGTTAAAAAAAAATTACTAAAGCAAAATTACACATGATATATATATGCAAGAATAAAATTTTCGCGAGCAGACAAACTTGTGAAAACAAAGTTTCTCGTGAATAATAAGTGATCTACAGTAAGAAAAAAAATTATCATTTTAAAACATTTATTGGGATGTAAATACGGGTTGGTATGTGATGAAATCTATCATAAAGCCCCGCTAAAAGTTTTAAAATGATACCTTGTTACTAAAGTAAGTGATCATACATGTAGATAAAAGTTGATAAACGTGTACATGTATTTTATTTATGTCATCAACTACAAAGTACTAGTACAGTTGTTTGTAGATACCATGAATCCTTGCTGAAGATAACAATAAATTTTACCTGTAAGCAATGAAATCTGACTTTATGTTATGTAAATTACCGTAGTACATAAACATGTAAAAAAAAATGTTCTTGTTAACATATCATAAGTTGTTCAACTGTTTGAATTTTGGTGCAACAGTGCATTTATCACGTACTTTTCAAAAAATCGTCTGCATTTTTGCACAATTTCAAAATACATTTCAGGGTCAAATGGTATTCGATCAACAATGATGCCTCTTCTTGTGAAAAAAAATAAAATCACACCATAAGGATTTGCATATGCCCATTTGCCCTTGAATTTGAATATACCAAGGAGATGTTTGTTTCAATCTAACATCATTGTTTTCATCAATGTATAAATGATAATGATCATCTTTACAAGCTTCTAAAGGTTCAACATTTTGATATGTGAAACTACATTTTATCTCAATAAGACCTGTTCCACAACATTTGCATGTAACTTTTCCATCAGGTGAAGCACCCATAAAAGGATAAAGATCACAAACAAACAACCCACATGATTCTACATTTAAATTTCTGTGTGATTTTTTGTATAAATCAATGTACTGTTGTCTGGCCACAGGCTCATACTTTTTTCCAAATGCAATGGAAGGTACCATGGATCCATCAACTGAACTTCCAAGTATTTTTTTTAAGATATAATTTTCAGGATTGTCAGTAAATCGGAAATGCATGACAGATGGGAAAAGTGATGCAGTAATCCGACCACATCTATGCTCAAACCAAAGAGTGTTATCAGATTGACCTCTTGTTATCTTTTCTATTTCTTTTACAGCATCAGGTGTGTAAACAGTTTTCAAATGTTCCAAAACAGGACTGTTTGATGAAAGAGTCTGTAAAGAATTTTTAAGTGTAGGGACATGCATTTCATCATCAGATGAGTTGTCATCACTTGGGGGGTCTAATACCTGTAGTAATAAGGAGTTGCTAGATTTGAACAAGTTGTATACATCTTTTTCAACCTCTCTGCTGTTGATTTGGCCACAAGGAGAGTAATTTTTAGTGGTTGGCATAACTTTTTTCTCTGTAGTAGTATTTCTCTGCAGATCAATGGTGTCTATTTCCATTGGCTCTGATGTTTTCTTGGGCTTATCCCAGATACAAACAGTGTCAGTACATGCCTCTGAATAACGGTCTTTGTGTCTGTCATTGAAACTTACCAAGGAAAACAATAAGGCTACACAATGTTTACATGTTCCATTACCTCTGAAAAAGAAAATGCATAATATTCTAGTCAATACAAAGTAAATGTTATATTGTATCATTGTACATGTGTAAGTGTTCATTTATAACTTGATACCTTTTACATTAATATTTGACTTTGTAAATCAATAAATTATACTGTTGAACGTTAATATCTCTAACACCGATATCTCCAATCCGATGTATATGTCAAAGTGATTTCTTTGAGTATTTTACCCTCAATATGTCAAAAACTCGGATATCTCGAAATTTTTTCTCATCCCATTGAGTTCGAGAAAACGAGGTTTGACTGTAATATGCAAATTAATATTTTGATTAAATTTTATGCATTTGCTTTGTTCTAATTAAGCTATTGAATAAGCTCTTTTCTCACAAAATACAATGATTATACATCATGACAAATATTGATGCTGTTACCTCTAAATAAGTTTAAACTGGATTACCAAATGAAATGATGAAATGAAGATGATAAACCATACCAGTTTCATACCAGATGAATGGCTGGTTATAAGGAAATGCTTTAAGATGGATACCACCAAGTTGCCAGCACTGGGGTAGATGACAGGTGATGTATGAATGTGAAGTCAACGATTAAAGTACAGAAAAGACTTGTTTAAATTAATAATCTCTTAAGTACTTCTCTCAGTTGCAACACAAAATGAGAAAAACATAAATCTAAAAATGCTGGTGAAAAAGAAAAACAAAAGCACATTGTATGAAGTTATCATCATGTACACAGTAAACAGCAAAAGAATTAGCTTTATACACAACACAAGAACAACCTCCAGCAAAAATCTGTCCATTTGTTTTTAGAAGTACCCAAGTAACATATGGGGCCTCAGTCTGCCTAGTTTCTGGTACACAGCATGCTTTTACATAAAAGTATGGTATACAATTGGTTACTTCGGCAATATTCACATCACTGATGTGGTTATCAATATGTAACTTGTAACCATTATCCTTCTTGTAACTTGTTAATCTAGAGGCTTCCCAACCACAATTATTAATAAGGTACACCATGACATCACATGACTCAATTGATGGTAATGTTGCCAAATTTGTTGACCATTTTGTAACATTTTGTATCGGCAAGAAATCCTTTCCATTATTTCCATTGACAACACTTTGCAATTCATCTAGGAATTCAGAAAAAATATCAAGCTGTACAATTATAGAATTTGGATTAAACATGCAAATAAGTGTTGTTGAAGACAGATTATATATATAACACTGTATATACTTGTTTATATAAATATTTCTTTCATTCTTAATGAGATTATCAGTTGTTTATCAGCTGTTAACATTCTAGGCTTTTACAGCTGTTTTATTTTATTTTATTTTTTTTTTTTACACAAGTACTATTTAATATGACAGTACCATGTCATTTTACATTTTACAAAAAATGCCTAGTACTTGTATACTTTTCACAAGACATTTATCTGAAAATAATTCTATAATGTGCAAACTGAAATTTCTCATCGTATGTTTATCAGGTTGGGACCAATCGCCCAAATGGGATATAATAGCTTGTTTGGGATATAATTTCTCAAATGGGATATAAATTTACAGTGCAAAAAATGAAAATTTTCATTTTGGCTATAAATATCATAAATCCGCATCATCATACTTATAAAGGAATAACTTTTGGTTTACACGTTTTTCTGTATGCCATATGCCCACTGTTTATGAGATTGATCCCTCGGAAGTTCCTAAACTTTTTGGGGATCAATCTAGCAAACTGTAGGGTTGCAGAAAAACTTGTATGCCAAATGTTATTCCTTTTTAAGAATTGTGATGCGGATTTATGATATTTATAGCCAAAATGAAAATTTTCATTTTTTGCACTGTGAATTTATATCCCTTTTGGGATATTATATCCCAAACGGGCTATTATATCCCATTTAGGCGATTGGTCCCAACCTGTTTATAGTGTGACGATTTCAAGGTGAACATTTCTACAAAATACATTACCTGATTCGTCATTTAAAACTTCCAAATTTAATTCTGCTGCAAGTTTACATAACCTTAGCAAGTGATCTCTTCTATAAAAGTGACATGTAACCCCCCGATTCTGTAAAAACCGCTTTAATTCTGGTACTTTGTAGCTTTCGAAAGTCATCTTCGGGAAACCGGATGTTGATATGCCCGCATCGAGTACAAACTAAATGTTAGAATCCTGTCGGAATACGGTAACTCGAAAATGGACTATTGGGTCGGTCGCGTTAGGGGAAACAAAGGTATTTTTTTTTATTTTGGCCCAATGACTTGGCGTTTTTCAATTACAGATAAATTGTTCCATGCAAAGTTCCATCAAATATATATGTAAGAGTAAAAGACATAGACGGATTCAGGGAACTAAGTTTGTGATTAACTACTATAATTTTTAGTAAGGCTTCTACATTTCCAACCATAACGCAGAGCGTTTCTCTCAAATTTTAGTTGACGCATTAAAAGTTCCAACGATCAATGTCAAGAACAATAATTTAATCTACACCCCATCGAAACAGAGTAGAGACAGCCTTTAATACATACCCAGTAGTACATGACTGTATGCCTTGGTGACGTCACAATAATGTGAATATGACAAAAAAATCCAATACTTTAGGCGAGTAATTAGTATCGCGAAAAGACTCGTAAACACCTAATCTCAAGAACATGCATTCGGGAGAGGACTGTTGATCGTGAATTTTTACATTTATTTAGCAATGTAGTAATATAAGTAAATAATTTTTTAGAAGAGAGTTCTGCTTCTCGCGAAATTACCCGATAATAAATTCCTCGCGGATATTTAGGATTCTACAGTAAGTAATATCCACTGAATAAAGGACTAAACATGGGGTGAATTAAGTCATCAGGCTGTTTATTTTATTTTCCTAGAAACTTATGTAATGAATAGATAACAACTTGAAACTTACCTTTGGAGTAGTTGTCCATGTGTTTGAAGTGGATAAATACTGTTACAGACTTGATTGAAAAGCTCCTCCCACTAGTTTCCCACACAATCCATTTAAACTAATATTTTAGAGATTCGAAGGTGTCAAGTGACTAACGGCTAGTGTGGTTATGGTTTGATTTCAAAGATGGTTTAAGTCAATTTGTGCTGGAAAGACTTATCTGTGATTCCCAAAACTTTGCAAAGTTTGGTTTGTTTGTTTGTTTGTTTTTTTTCCCTGGTTGGAGTGCAGTTATGTGATGATTTTGAAATTTTTATGTGTGATTCGGAAGTTGGACATTTTAAGAAATAATGGCATTTCAAAACAGCAAAGATGAGAAAAGTTCACGGAGTAATCCTACCCTGTCCTCAGAAGTCAGTGGAGCGTCACTTCATGATTGCCCGTAATATTACCGGTAAATTGGAATATACATGCTTATATAAATCTTTAAATAATATGAACCGGGATCTATGAGATGAAGATGGATTAGACAATCGTCAAATATATTAGACAACAACACGACGATAATGTTCCAGAAATCGAGACTTTAAGAATGGAAAAAAAATTGCTTGCGAAAAGAAATCTAAGTTTTGAAATCTGTCGTTATTTACCTATATGGAAGGGACAGTCAGCAGGAGAATGATATAATGGACCGTAGAGATAGATCTATAAGGGACAATATCCTTGTACATAATTTAGCCGAGGAAGAGCAGGAAGATCTAAACACTAGAGTGGGTGAGTTGATCAAGGAGCACTTACATTTGAAAGTTAGCTTCATCAGGATTCACAGAAATGGTCAGAGATTTCCGGGTAATTCTAGGCCTAGGTCAATTACAGGGAAATTACAGAATTACAGTGGCAAAGACCTCATTCTGCAGGCTATGCAACAAAAGAGAGAAAAGTCCACCACTGACAACATACCATTTTTTATCACATCTCAGCCCCCTCTGGAAATAAATGAAATAAAAAGAAACTGCAACAGTTTGAGTTTGATTACTGTTCGCTATCTTCATATTTCATTCATATCCTCTTTAAAATGTTTAATTCTAATATACCAGTTGTTGTTGCCGTGGGAACCCGTCGGGTCAGTAACATGTATACCATTACCCCCCCCCCCCCCCCCCCTCCCCTTTTCATTAAGAGCAGAGTGCTGGTTACGGGATTAAAATATTTAGATAACGAACAGTAATCATACTCAGTGGTTCACTGAAACAATACAAATTGTAAGAAGAGCAAACAATGGATCCCTCTAAATCTTGGTCACATGTGAAAAGTCATACCTTTATTAATTAATACTTTTTTTTTCCGAAATCCCACATGCCTCATAAGATTTCATATGAGAGGAAAAGTTAAAATTTAAAAGTTATGTTTGGTGTATACAATTTCAACAATGCTGATGAATTGACTTATTGCACATACATGCTTTTATAATTGTATCAGGATACACTTCCATTCATTGAATAATAATAATTCTTTTAAATGATATTTTTGAATGTGTAATTTTTATTGTATATCTACGAAATGCATAGTAAAAGCATTTAATTTCATTATCTGTAAATTGCGTGCCTATTCTGAAATATCTATAAATATAATATAACATAAAGTTGATATGGTGAATGAAAAAAAATCAGTGCTACTTTGTAATCATTAGTTTAAGATCTGTCGATGGATAAGACTAGTTTGAATCCGGTAATTACATGTATATAAATTAAGCCTACTAACAGAGACCAAAATTAAAATATTAATTGAGGGCGGTTGTTTGCATGGAAAGGAACAGACAGGAAGATAGAAAACAAGGAGCAGTTGACTATAGAGGTCGTTAAAGCTTTCATACAGCAATCAATAACAAAACAGTTGTTGAATGATTCTTCGATCATGTTAATCAAAAATGTATTTTATTGCTCATAAAATGCCGTTCCACTTCCATAGGTTATAAATAAGAATCAATCACAAACCTTTGTTCTTTTTACTTCTTTGTTTGTGGATTATATCATTTTCGTAAAAATAAAAACAAATCAAGAACATTGTCCGAGTCTCTCTACAGTGAATGATTAAAGCTGTAAAAGTCAATTTAGTATAGATTCTTATTCTGCTGAAACAATTTTCATGCTTATTTTCTCATATGGTAAACTTGATAAATAAATTGCCCTTTTGAAATCAAGTAACAGGAAGGTATTTTATGTTTATTAATTTTTCTGTATTACGATACTGTGATTCATTTATTGAATAAAAGTGATATTTTTTCACTGTGTGAATAAATAATACCCATTTGTACTCCCGAGTAATATCAGCTCTATGTATGGTGGTATTGTCATCTTGAACACCGTTTAATTTTTGGGCTAAAACGTCTAACCATAGAGACTTTTCAAAATTCGTTATATATTTTTCTGCAGTTCATCTACTATTTAAAAGACAAAAAAAAATTCCATCTTTGTAATTATTCATACAACCACACACTATAATCGGTACCGTTGTCTGACAATGGGGGCAGGTGGAAGGTTCGATTCTTTGGATGTCCTCTACACATGTACTCAGCAATTTTCCCCAAACTATTTGCATTTCATCAGGAAAGATATCGTTGTTCCAATTATTATCAATAGTGTGTTTTAATATTTTTGACATGCGTCACTGCCAACTGTTTTTCTTACCACTCGTCTCTTCACATCTCTTCATATATATATATATATATATATATATATATATATATATATATATATATATATATATATATATATATATATATATATATATATATATATATATATTTTTTTTTTTTTTTTTTTTTTTTTTTTTTTTTTTTTTTTTTTTTTTTTTGCACGGTCCGTGGATGAAAATAATCTTGTAGATCCCTGCTGTCATTAGAAATATTCATTATATCATTTAAAACACGTCCACTGTTTATATTTATTTGAAGATATACAATCCGTTCTGATCCCGGTGCGACATCATGAATGGACGGTCTGCTTCCTTTTGCTCTTTTAAAGCTCTCCCGTGAATAAATATTCATTTTACAATGATCTGATGGTAGATTCTGATATTCTTGATAAATGTTAAATTTCAGAAAATTTCTGACCATCTAACAGCATTTCAACAACCAATTTCAGTAGATCGCTTTTTTTTCTTTTGATTTTTAGACCATTGTGAATTACTGGCTTATTTACAATTCTATCAGAATGATGGACGACAAAAACTAATTTTTTTCACTTTCTACCGAAATATAACTCTGTAAAAGTTACAATGGTTAACTCGATCTGTATTTAAAGTTATTTCCCTTTTTACGAACTAGGCGCATAGCGAAAACGTCGCAATTGTGTAAAAATCGTTAATACTTTTGTCATAACGCTGTAATTCCAGTGTTTCAGAAAAAGAAATTAATAAAATATCTTTTATGATTATATGCATTAAGTTATATACTTAACGCGTTCGGAAAATTACAGATGTAGGTATATTAGGTATGCACTTGGCTATGATTTTATCAGCCAGATATCTGTCACAAAGAGACACATGATATATTGCAAGTCTCTATGATACAAAAACAAATGCTTCCCGGTCCATAGTGTTTCAAAAAGAATCCTTTAGTTAAAGAGATTTGCAACCTAAAGTGGACCTGTGGGCTAAAAATTACTTTAGTTACACATCTTGCCGATGTAACGACGAAAAGTGACCCCCGTCATTTTTCGACCATAGAAAACCCTTCCAGGCCGGTAATTCTACGACTCCACACTGAATGAAAAATGACCACCATAGAAATCTGACCACCTACTTTTTCACTATGTTTCATAATTAAACCTTTAGAAATGAGATGTGACATGCGTTAATCCGAGGTTGGGGAGGGTCGTTGAAGGCCTAGAGCCTAATGATTTTATTTTACTTTCAAAAATACATTGGGGGAGGCGCAAAGTATCCTTCCCTCCTTAACGCCACGTTGCAATTCTAGCGTAAACAATGTACGTGGTGCATAAATTCATTATATATATATATATAATATATATATATATATATATATATATATATATATATATATATATATATATATATATATATATATATATATATATATATATATATATATATATATATATATATATATATATAATTTTTACACAAATTTAATCTTCCTATCTTCCTTATATTTTTATGAGAAGTTTTATGCCAGAAAATCAAAGATTTACGTGTATACAAGATTTTATTTTCTTAACAATTGTCCGTTTTTTCAGCAAATTTATTTGAATAGGGTTCGAAAACGTTAATCTTTCTTGTA